GCTGGGGGTGTGGGCTCTGGGATGGGACTGGGGATGGGGGGTTTGGAGTGTGGGACAGGGCTCCGGGCTGGGGCAGGGGGTTGGGGTGCGGGGAGGGTGTGGACTCTGGGCTGGGGGTGTGGGCTCTGGGTGGGGCCAGAAATGAGGGGTTTGGGGTGCAGGAGAGGGCTCCAGGCTGGGGCCGAGGGGTTTGGAGTGTGGGAGGGGGTGTGGGCTCTGGGATGGGGCCAAGGATGAGGGGTTTGGCATAAAGGAGAGTTCTCTGGGCTGGGGCAAGGGGTTAGGGTGTGGGGGGTGAGGGCTCTGGCTGGGGGGGATTTGGAGGGGGCAGGGATGAGGGGCTTGGGGTGCAGGAGAGGGCTCAGGGCTGGGGCGGGGTGTTGGGGAGGTGCGGGGTGCAGGTTCCGGGAGGGAGTTTGGGTGCGGGTGGGGACTCTGGGCTGGGGCAGGGGGCTGGGATGCAGGGTCCGGCAGCGCTAACTGCGGCTCCCAGGAAGCAGCCGCCAGGTCCCTGCAGTCCCTAGGTGCATGGGGGCCAGGGAGGCTCCACACACTGCCTTTGTGTCTGCAGGCGCCACCCCCGCAGCTTCCATTGGTCTCGGTTCCCGGCCACTGGGAGCTGCAGAGCCAGCACTGAGGCAGGAGCAGCACGCAGAGCCTCCCTGGCTTCCCATGCGCCTAGGGGCTGCAGGGACCTGGCGTCCGCTTCTGGAAGCCACGGCAGGCAGGGAGCCTGCCTTGGCCCCAGGCCTCCGCTGCACTGCCGACTGGACTTTTAACAGCCCAGTCGGCAGTGCCAACCAGAGCCGCCAGGGTCCCTTATCGACTGGGTGTTCTGGTCGAAAACTGGATGCCTGGCAACCCTACTGGTCATGTCACATCTTATCAATCAATATATTGTTTAGTATGTTTCCACTGATATTTCTGTCTTCCATCATTACATGTAAGACATAGGACCTTTCTGACATATGAAAATGGTGTTGAAATACCCCAAGAAAACATAACAATAACTTACATTTAGATAGCATTTGATGTATTCAAAGTGCTTTATAAACATGAGCTAATTAATTCTCACAAATACCCTGTGACATGTTATCTCCACTTTCTCAGTGTGTAAATGAGAGCACCTGGGTGGTTACTTTATTTCTCTTTTAATACTGTTTTAGCTCTAGTTGTCCTGATGACTGTTAACCTACTGACCTACCATGAACATACTTTCAGAGCACACTGTGTAAGCAAATATATCATACCTTATATTGTAAATAGTAGTTTGTGTACTCCCTGAGATTGTACAAGTTGTCTGTTTTCTTTATTATTCCCATTTTTAATTATTAGTCCAACTGTAAAAATCTCAATAGTTATTTACCCACTCCTTATTTTGCTTTCTACTAGTATCATTGCTAAATACTTTTAATTCATATTTTGGGGGATTGAAACTGAATAGCATTTAAAAATAGCAGCATTCAAAGCTGGTGTAGCACAGGGTGCTTAATAGTTATTCCACACTCGCAGACAAGGTTTTCTTAATCATCTTTTCAGATTTCAGATTTTTGATTAATGTAGTCCCTTGCTCTAAGTCAAAGGCAATAATTTCTAGGTAACAGACACAGGTGTCCTTCAAACCTCCAGTAAGTGCTCTCATTAAGTACTTGAGTAAACTGACGGGTATTGCATCAGATGACAAAGCTGAAAGTAAAGAGCTGTCTTGTTCTTCCATCAAGTGAAGCTGCCTGTGTATTATAGGGGAGAGGAACAGAGAGAAAGTTGCTACAATACATAAGAAAAGTGGCAGATGGTCCAAAATAGTGCCTTGGTTTTTTTTTTCCATAGAGCAACAATCTAGTGATGAGGAAATTAAATCTTTTTTTCTCATTTGAAACTATGGTTGCCTTCGGTTTTTGTTGTTGTTGTTGTTTTTTTCTTTTAAATTATCTATATACAGCTTGTTCATGGACCAGAAGGGCTAAATATTCATCACAATCTTTCTTGTAGTTGCAGTTTGCCTGAATGTATTTTGCACCTGTAAAATTTGTGGGTGGATATTTTTTTGCAGGTGCATATCAGGTTGCTAACCGTTAAAGATTAATGATTAATATTTGCATCCATGATTTATTGCAGCAGACCATAATTCAGTAAATGTGAATAAGCAAGTGAACAAAAATACGTCTATATTATTGCTTCATGTAGGTTTTCCAGTTTTTTCTATCATCTTTGTTTTTATGAGCTGCGAAGCGAGATGGAGTAGAGACTGCTTTCTTTTTTTGAGCTGTGCACATTGTTGGCACTTGTAATAAAAATGGTAATTACATATGGAAAATATGTGCCTGCAAATTTTACTAATGCTAAAAATGCAGGAGGAAAACTCGCTTCCTGCAAATGTATGCCAGAAACTTTATTACAAAACATAAAGGGTTTCAGTGAAAAACTGAATCTGTACTCAGCCTAAAATGAACTGGCTGCCCAGGAGTAAGCTGCAGCATACATTACACTGACTAGGGAAGCCTATGGGCCACATACCATATGTCTGATGACTTATTCTTTTCTGTCTGGTTATCCACTGAAAAACGATCTGAATCAAAAGCTAATGATTTATAGATATAAAAAGTTGCCTTGGTTTTTAAAATCAGTTGTTGGAATGGACTGATTTTTAAGAGAAGCTGAGCACTTTCCACTCCCACTGATGTCTGTGGATATTGAGAATGCTCAGCACCTCTGAAAATCATTTCGTGACCCACTGGTATGAACAATGGATCGTGCCGGTTTTTTAATGCAGTTTGATGGCAGTTTGTTTAATTTGTGCAGCTCATTTGTTTTCAAATTTCCTTAATAAAGGTTTCCGTGGTACAAATGGTGTTTACCAAGTGAAATTTTCTGTTGATTCCCGCATTCAATTTCCACTTTTAGTGGAAACAGATGAAATGTGAGCCTCACAATTACTATGAGCTGAGAATAACAACTCTTAAATCATAGACGAGAAATACCAGTGCGCAGTAATACTTCTATGTTGCAATGTGCAAAGTATGACTTGAGGTGCAGAATAACAACCTTTGACATGATTTAGTGACCATTCCCTGTCCCACCATGGGCCCTTTGCTTGTTAGAACAGAAAGGGTGGAAAAGCGTTATTGAATCCAGAGAAGGGGCTACAGTGAAATGCATTATAAACTCTTTCTGATAGGGTTCGTATGCCAAATGGGTTTTTAAAATCAATTCAGTAGTTGCGTCAGAATTAAAAATCAATCCCCCAAAACACAAAATGTTGTACTGAATTGTATCAAGCCAAAATAAAGCGTGTGGCTTCTTGGTCTCACTTAACAACCAGCTTGACCTCCATATGATGCTGTAGTGGATTTCAGTTTATTACATTTGCTGCGCTCATAAATGAAGGACCTTGTAGTGAATTATACTAATTGGAATTACTAGTAGTACAACACCTGGGAGGCATGAAATAAAGATAAACTTGAGTGAGATTCCTTTTGCAAGTTGTTTCTGAAATATCTTCTTAATCTTATTAATACGGACTGATCCTTTGTATTAGGATTTCCCAGGGATTGGTGGAGTCTAAAGATTTAAAACCGTCTGAGTCAAGGATAACCTAAATTCTGATAGCTTTTGTTATGCAAATCCTCACAATCAAAGGTCATCCTCTGGAAAGATCTGAAGTTAATGAGTTCAGATATTCAGGTGCTATCTCAAGCAAATGTAGACATTTTTGAAAAGGATTTCCTAAGTGACTTGCCCCTGGTCACACAAATAGTCAGTAACAGAGTTAGGAACAGAACACAGGAAGACTGATTCCCCCAACAAATCAGCAGGCTTATGGTCAATTGGGCCTCATTCTGAAGAGAAACATAGTTTTACCCACTTCCCTGACTCTCCCACGTAGTGGTCTGTCTTTCCCTTGATGTGTACCTCTAACTTGCTTTGAGGAGAATGACAAAGAGAGACAAAACACAGTTCCACTGTTGCCCAATGTACTAGCCCTGTCCTTTTTAGAATTGCCACAATTGGAATGGCGACACTTCCCAATACAGTGACTTGTCCTGTCACCTTGCACAAGATGCAGCAGAGAGCAACAGAGAATGGGTTAATGGGACACATCAAGTGGAAAATACTCTCTTATAGAGCCATGAGGATTTTCTGGCACATCGCCAGCTCAGTTGGTACAATTTTACACTGCTCTTCAAGGCAAGCTTAATGGAGAAACCTCAGTGCTTTGTAGGGGGCTTTGTAACTATCTAGGAGCTTGGGCTTGTCTGCTGTTCAGATTTCAGTGAGTGAACAGTTGGCTGGAAATTCTAATCTAAACACTTAGTAAAATGATATTTTTAACTAATAGTCAGGACCATTTTAAATGAATGGATCGGCATAGAATTGATTGCGGTCACTGCTGTTTAGTAAAAACAAAGACACCTTCTTATTATGTCTGGATTTCATCTAGATCCTAAAGTCACAATCTCAGATGCAGAGGGCACATGGCAAAAATATTGTATGGAAAGCATGGTTGACTGGGCACAATCAATATCACACACTTGATATATTTTCTTAGGGCCTGATCCTGCAAGATGCTGAACGCCTTCAACTCTAAGTGAAGTGAGTGGGAGTTGAGGACACTCAGCTCCTGATAGGACTGGGTCATTGCAAATTTAAGGGGTTATAATTTATTTGTTGTATGTAGAGTTCGTTGCAGCAGTATGTTAGTTTAAGGTTATAGTGATATATAATAGACTGAGATGCCAATTAAATTGAGAAATACAGCGCTTAATATTCTGATATGTGTATTTTACTTTGATGTTTAAAATTAAATTCCATCTGCCAGAATCGAGAACTCAGTACAGGTTTTTGATTTTGAAACCATAAGTTTAGGTATCATTTAGCATCTGAAACCATTTGTGTGTAGAGTCTTGATTAATGCTTTCTAAAATGGGATTAAAGGATAAAAGGGTTAAATCTCAACCTCTGTCTCTTTCTGATTTGTATTTCTTTCCCCTCCTTCACAGCTGTGGACATGGATGGAAGATCTGCAGAAGGAGCTCTTAGAGGATGTCTGTGCTGACTCGGTGGATGCGGTTCAGGAGCTTATCAAGCAGTTCCAGCAGCAGCAAACAGCTACCCTGGATGCTACCCTCAATGTCATTAAAGAAGGCGAAGATCTAATCCAACAGCTCAGGTATGTTTCCTACCTCAGGAGAGATGTCAAGAAATCTGGTGAAGCATTGTGCGTTAGGTGCAACTTAATGGGGGAAATGTAATTTACAATTTAACAGGAGAATTTATTCACTACCTTTTATATTTATGATGATTCAGGCTCTTATAGTATTTTATTGAAACTGCAAGGAGTGATTTGTAGAGACTAAGAAGAATAGTCTATGTATCAGCATAGGTTGCTGTATCTGATGGATTGGTAGATGTATAGATTAAATGTTTTTCAGGTGAATATTTCTGAGTGAATATTTACGGAAGATTGTTAAATGGTTGTGAGCTGAGGCCCAGTGAGTTACGTGATTACTCTTGCTGTATGGAAGCTGTATGCCTGTAAATAAAACCTGTATAGTTGTATAACAGGCCACAGTATTTCATTGTGTGCAGTACATGTAGTTATTCATGCTGTCAGACTGTTCTTGTATTGGCATTTGTATTATAAATTAAAGCTGCTCTTTTTACCCAATTTAGAATGCACTAGTGACTGACTTTAAGAAATGTTTCTTTCCTCTCAGTAAATATGAGTTTCTTAAACTTTGTTCCTATCCGGTGTGAATATATCTTATTAAGAAATTCCACCCCAAGGGTCACGTTCTGCTCTCATTTACACTGGTTTAACTTTGACTTCAGTGGTGTTTTACTGATTTTTCCTGGTGTGACCGAGATTAGAATCAAGCCCTATATTTTTGTATTGGGAGGGTTATCCTAGTGCGGAGAATCTTCCAATACCTGCCAGGAATGTAACCAAATGATCATCACTAAAATAGAAGAAATAACTTGTTTAACGGGAATTAACTAAACGCCAAAAATCTTATTCACAGTAGTATTCTTCTTGAGTCTTCCATACAGAGTCTATAGATACAAACTACCCCTCTCCCTTCCTCCATGTGCAGCTATGTACATTCCACCACAAGAACTTTTGCTATATATAATGTGGTTATATAGAGCTTGATTGTGATTCAACCTTATGCAGCTACATGGGGGGAAATAGGGTGTACATGTCTCTGCCTCACTGTACAACTGTACAAGGCTTACCTGGATCACAGGTGAGGCCTTTGAGTACAGGAGGGAAGAACAGGGATTCCTTGCTTGATATGTCTTGCTGTGAGCCGATGGGTAAGGAAGGACAGAAGAAGTCAGAATCTTGGTTCCATGGACTACAAGCTAGCTGGCCAGGAGTGTGGGGAAATGCGCTGTGTTTGGTAATAAGCTAACTCAGCGTGCGTCCCCAGGCAACTGTGCAAAACAGGAGCTCAAGTCATAGTTTCTTTGTGGAGCTTCTCCTGGGGTGGTGCAGCTACACACCACCCATTATACAGGGCTAGGAGCAAACGCTTAATCACCTTCCAATATCATGGTTAGGTTGCAGTGCTTGCACAGAAGTGCCAGTTTACTGCTTTAGTCCCAGGAACTGATGTTTCAACGTGTTTGGTGTTTTTTTTTCAAGACAGAATCACAGACTGATAGGGACTAGGAATGGAAAATGTCTGCTGGTTCATCCTATTACACTACCAGTGCAGGATTTTTCCTGACAGTGTATTTTATAGGGCTTCAAACTGTCTTATTTTAACTGTCTCAAGTAATGCAGCTGCTACTATGTAATTTATGGGGAAAACAAAACATAACATACCCTTAATGCCCTGAAAAGCTTATTTATCCACAGAACCCTCAGAACAAACATATATTAAAGAACCCAAGCTAACTTTCAGACTCCAGATCGCTAGTGTTAAATGTGAGACAGCCAGGATTGAGGAAACTGACAATAATGAAAATAGTTTCTGCCCTATATTTATAACACACAACTGTCTCAGGGCCAGATTGTGGCATTAAGGCAGCGCCCTGGCATTAAGATGGTGCAACCTGCTCCTCCTGTCTGCTTGAGCTGGAGACTAGGGGGTGGTACCATGGCCCTTTCTCCTCTCTGCCCCCTTTGGGATGATGTGTGCTCGGGGGTGCATAGCAGAAGCAGTTCCTGAACACCCCTGGCACATGGAGTGTACAGTGAGGGGAAGATTCCTTGCACCCTACCCATCACCCTGGGCACCTACACAAGGGCAAGTCACAATCTGTCTTTAGTGTTTTAAAATACTTACAGTGTTGGAATTTTTCCCAGGTTATGTTGCATTCTGACTAAGTAATCAAGGGAAATCAGAAGAATCCCAGTCTTGTTAGGCTAAAATACTGGCAAGTCCAGCTCTCTTAATTCACTAGCAACAATGCAAATGGTGGCATAATTTAACTTGTAAAGATCTACAGCGTGTTAGTAGCAGCTTTGAGGATGATGCCTCTGAGACAGGCTGATTGTAGAAAGAAATGGGTCATTTGGACTAGAATTAAATGGGATTGCCAGTCAGATTCCTCAAGAGATCAGTTCAGATTTATGTGCCATTCTGCTCCCCTCCTCTCCCCTTCAACTCCTTGTTAGTGTATCGGGGTCAAAGTGTCACAACATATGAAAGGATGTGCTCATTGTTTTGACTTTGCGTTGAGTTCAGGAAACACAGGATTTCAACAAGCAGAAGAAATGAGCATTGCATACACCTTCCTCCAGCCCTTTGTGCTTCGGCTCGCTTCTCAGCTGCGCACAGAATTGAGTGTTTAATTCCTGCTCTTTTCTTGCGTTAATGCTGAGCTTTAACCATTCTCTTGCCTTGCCACAGGGACTCAGCGGTATCCAACAATAAGACTCCACACAATAGCTCCATCAGCCACATTGAATCTGTCCTTCAGCAGCTTGACGAGGCCCAGGTACAGATGGAAGAGCTCTTCCATGAGCGGAAAATTAAGCTAGACATTTTCCTTCAGCTCCGGATTTTTGAACAGTACACCATTGAGGTAAGAGCTGTCTGGTTGATCTTGGGAAGGTAGCGCTGTGGAGATGGTGACTGTGTCTCTGACTAATACTCTAACAGGATACACAGAGTTCCAGGGAATGACAGAAGACTTTGATTACACTGAGATGTCTGGTGGAACTAGGAGGTGAATAGAAATCAGTTGTTAAATTGGAAATTTAGAAACCAGTAATATGCCTTTGTGACATACTGATAAAATACAAGACATGTTCATGTCTGCCCAGCTGACTGTATTCAGAGTGTCTGAATGCTTTGGACCAGTTTTTTGGCATGCATCGTACAGTGATTTACATATGCCCCTCATGTACATCTGTCTTTACTAATCTAAAAGTTCATGATCTTTTGCAGGTGCGATTTTTCTCTTTAGATGCATTTTATGGCTTTGACCCCCTCGATGCAACAAAATATTAATCATCATATGAAGGGTTCTCTTAGAAATCAGGTTGCAGGCATAACAGTTGTTTTGCATAAGGGGGGGGAAAGAGAAATACTGTACAAGAAGCCCCAAAGTGCTCATCATGTAATTTTATGTGCCTGTAAGTAAATTTAAAAAGAGGTCTTATATCTCTACCTTGTACTCCTTTTTTAAATCAAATGCTATTGGTGGAAAAACCGTTATCAGTGCATTAAATAAATGAGGTTTTCTTGGTCTGAATAATTTTAAAGAGATTTTTAATGAATCTGAATAAATATTTACCTGTAAATCAGATGGAATGTGATACTAAAGCATGGGATTTTAATTAATTTGTGTCTCATGTATGCTGGAACATAGTGTTGTGTATATAGCCCATATGAGGTATCAACTTGCTACTGTATTTTTCTTGTGGTTGTTCAGAGACACCTTTGGCAGTGGATAAATCTGTTAATGTGGCACTTTTTTGAAGTGTTTTATGATGAGATATTCCCAGAGATGTTGCATGTAATTCAATAGGTGATCTGATGGAATATATTGATAGTTAATGGAAACTTTAGCATGCTACATAACACTTCATAGGAGACAGTTTATTTTAAGTTATGACAAGAAATAGTGTTAAATTATAATAGATGGAAAAGCTGTGAATGCAGATTCCTAGATAGGAATTGATCTATAGCAATATGCAACAGATACAGTACAGATCCAGGTTTCCAGTTACTGCAGTTATAGTCTAATTATGTAGGGAAAGCTATTCTACAGTTTTTGCTATTAATGTAAATAGAACAGTCTCGTTAAAAGAGTTCTTTGCATACCATTCACACACAAACACTTGGATATCCTAATATACACTCTTATATATTCACAAATGGTATGTTTGCACAAGAGCAGTGGTCGCCTTAAAAACTCAAACTTCTAGGTACATGGAATAACCATGGTCTCTTCCTATGCATAGAATAGAAGATATTGTGGTACTGCAGAGTGCCAAATGCTGAGTATTTAATGACTCCCACTCTTCATGAGCGTGTGTGTACATGCATGTATATAAATGCAGCATACTTTTTTAGACTGAAATCAAAATAAATACAAACTATATAGGTATGTCTGCATGCAACATACACTGAATATTCATAGTGGAGCTGTATGAGCCTTTCATTAAGAACTCCAAATCACGTGAAGCTTTCTGGGTTTCATTGCAGACCCCAAGCCTGGGTTATGTACACAGCAGGAAGATTAGAGATGTTCCATGCGGCAGTATGGCTTCACTGTGCTTCCAACTTCAGCAAGTGACTAAATGCTGCAATCTAGCTTTGAGGGAAGATTTCAGAATTCATTCAAATTATAACTCTTTGCCCTTATGCAGTGCTTTTCAATCAAGGATCTCAAAGTGCTTTTCCAAGGTGGATAGGTATCTTAATCCCTGTTTTATAGATGGGGAAACTGGGGTACAGAGCGGTGACATGACTTGCCCTAGGTCATACAGCTGGTCATGGTCAGAACTGGGTGTAGAGTCCAGGTCCACCATGTCTACTTTATCCCTGTGTGGATATTTGCTTCGATGCACACAGTCACATCTACTGGGCCCTGACTCAGCAAGGTGCTTGAAGTTTGATATGTACTTTCACCTTTCTGAATCAGGCTGTAGTGACTAATAGGGGCTTGAAAGAAAATCGGTGCTGTCACTGTTGCTTTGCTATTGTTTATGTGTGATTTGCTATTGTTTATTATGAGAACACTGGAACTCACACTACAAGAGTCAGAGAGCATGTTTCTTATTTGCATAGGGAACCTGATAGGCAGATTCTTTTAGTTAGAGATCTCTTTCTTTAAATAAAATGTATAACTATGACACATAATTCATAACCAATGACAAAACAGAAAGAGTTTGTAGACAGATTAATATAGGAACTTATAAATAAGTATAGCTGCCAAGATTAGTCTTCAAGCAAGGAAAACAACTTAAATGACAATAAAATGAAAAGCAATTTGAAATGTATGGTAAATGTCACCTTTATATTATACATCTCAAGCAATTGTTGATTTGATTCAGCTGACAAAAGAATAATCCTTAAACAGATACTAGATTGCAGTCAGTTGTCTCAAAACTATAATAAAGACTCCTGTGTGTCAATAGGGGAACCATTATCAGAATTAACAGAGCTATTTTATCCTATTTTTAATTTGGGAAGCCAAAAAGATATTCCCATCATCACAATTAAGAAACCTGTAATGCTTTTGATCTTTGTTTATTCTAAGCGTGGCAGAGAAGACAACAGAGGCTGGAAGACTAAGAGCAACAAATTATACCTTAAGCAAAATATGTTTTTATTGGTGGTGGTTGGCTTGAGATTTAGCTGGAAATTAGACATTTATATTGTTTTCCATAAGGGCCCGAGTTCTCGTGTGTGTGTAAACTGAATACAGGAGTAGAAGCTGTGCTGTATAAATAAAGCATGCTGATACAATGGCCACCACTGTTATTCTCAGATCAATATTTCCTTCTTCTGTGCTGGTTTAAGTCCCCTTCTGTCTGTCCAGAGAGCACAGCTACCTCCGTCACCTGCAATCACATCCCCTCCGTGCTCTCATGCTGGAAAGCACTGTCACCATTCTGACTAATTAAGCACACCTTGTCCTTTAAGATACAGGAGTGAAGCCTGTAAGTGGGAAAAGATGCATGGCAGAGGCACTTTTGTGAGCACATCCTGAAGTCTGTGTTGTGCTTTCAAAACCAAGGCATTTGATGGACATGCATAAGATTCCAATGGCTTTCCTAGAAACTGTCCTATAGCTTTTACTCTGGTAGATGCATCCGGCTCCATGCCCCTCACATCTTGTCCTGTCTTGTCAAGCTCCATGTTGCCTACTCTCCCTTCCACTCTACCAATGTTCCCAGCCTTGTCCACATTTAATCAGCTTCTCACATCTTCGTGCCTTATTCCCCATTGTCCCCTATGCATAATACAAGCACCCAGAGCTCATTCACAAGGCCCCTACCCTGTCCACATTTAAATCCCTCTTAAAGTCTCTCTTCTGCTGTGCTGCTCACAGTGAGTAGTACTGATTTGTACGTAAATTGCCTGTTGCCCCTCCTTCCCTTAATCTCTGTGTGCTTATCTGCCTATCCTTAGGCTATGAGCTCTTTGGAGCACGGACTGTCCCTGCCTTAATTGTTTGGAAAGTACCTAGCAGGTGGCAGGTGCTGCTGTAAATTAATAATAATATAATAGCAATGAGGAAGTCAGAGCCATGGCTTTTTGAATTTCTAATTCCTTTTGTTAATATAATGCAATATTTAATTAATGTAACTAATTAATTCTAGCGCTCTTATATGAGTCATTGCATATAATTTCTATAATTATATATAAGGGTTATATTAAATCTAAAAAGAAAATAGGATAAAAATGCAGCAAAGCAGCAAAGATCACAGTTAAAGCTAAAATTCCATTCTTAGTTTACTCCATTGTTCTTTGCAGATAACCTGCTAAAGTCACCCTCTCTTTAGAGTGCCTTGATATAAATCTGCAAATGGGATAAGTTAAGAATGGCTTTTAAAAGTGATCTGGAAAGGATTCTTTGTTGCATTTGGTATTGTGCCTTTTTCACTTCTGGAAGATTTTGCCTGAATGGTTTTTTTAAATGTTTTCCCCCTTACTTATTTCTTTTAACTTTTAGGGCTATCAGGAATACCTGGCTGTGTGCGAGGTCCATCTGGAAGTCTCTGCAGATGTAGGTTGTTAGCACTCACACCTTGATGGAAGTGGTGGTGGGGTTGAAATCTTTAACAGAAATGGCTTTCTCCAAAATGCTCATGAGTCCTTGAAGCTAAATAGGTGTTAATAGAAACAGCCAAAAACCAAAGAGTTGAAAACAATCTTACTGAAAATCCCTTCCAATCTCAGTGGCTCATCTTTCACCCTACTGTTGTGTGTCCTGGCAATTCTCCACTACAAGCCTCCTTCCTTGGGAGCTACATCCACTGCTTGAACCTGCTTCTCCATGGTGGAACCCAGAAGGGGCATCTGCTGAAGGGTCACCAATCCATTCCTGGGGCAAATGCCTTTTCTTGCTTAACTGCCCCCTTGGACATTATGAAGAGGATACAAATTGCACCCCAACCTTCCTCCTGCCTGGAGAAATAGTCACAACCAGTATTGAATTTAGTCAAACATCTGTTTTTAGTTCCAAGCATCTGTCTGCTTACTGTTTTCCATATCCCTTGTTCGTCTGCTCACTTTTAAAGCTAAAAATGTGGGGGATAGTTTCAAAGATACAAACGGCAGTTAAGTGCCTAGCCACTTTGACTTTCAGTGGAAGTCAGGTCTTAACTGCCATTTGTGCTTTTGAAAATCTAACCCTTTTTCTCTGCGCTTCCCTGGATGGTGAAATCCACATTATAGGCCGCTTTCTTTTGCAGTTCCTCTCGTAAACTTCCTCTGAGAATTGTCTTAAATGTCTCCACTCTGTAGATTTCTGTTGGAGCTGGAGCTTGTCTGTAAACTTTCCCTCCTGCTCTGGTGCTTGGAATACAGATAGATCATCTTCAGAGTTAATTGTACTCCAGAAACTCT